GACTGTTGTTGGACCTACCCTACATAATCTTGACTAATTCTTCTTTCAACCCAGTTATCATATCCTGTGACAATTATCTGTACAAGTTGTGTTACGTTAAAAAGAAACCTTCATGTTACTTGTTTTAAACCTACCATCCAATAAGTTCAGATGCCCATAGTTCTTGTATCATGAAAAGATGATTTTATAGACCTTTTATAGTATGCTCCATCCTTTACTCATTCCTTTTTTCAAGCTGGAGTCCTGTTTTTTTTGGGTTTTTTTTGGTTTTGTTTTTTTTTAAAGTTTCTTCTCATATGAAGGCCATTCCAAACCCTGATCATCTTTCTTACTTTCTGATAGTCCCAGTACCTTTTCTAGTTTAACTATAAGCTTTTTAAGAACTACATATAGTACTCAAGACACGGGCACTTACAGATCTAATATAATAGTACACTGACAAACCTTAGGATGCTAACAACTACTGAGTTTAAAACCCCAGCTATACTATGGAGGTGTCTACTGCTGGGCCTAAAGTTCATGTAGATGGACCTCAGCTGATTAATTTGGGTACAGCTAATGTTGAGGCTGCAGCAGCAGAGAATGCAGCCAGGAATGCACAATGGTTCCTGAGAACCCAGGTAAAAACCAGGGCTGTTGGCTGCACCACAGAGCACAACACAGGCTGTGACCGCAGCTAATGTGTGCATACTGAAGCTAGCTTTCAATTAGCTCGCCTGCTGCAGGCCAGGTAACTGACAGCTAGTTTCAAGGTACCTACATTAGCTACTGACACGATAGTGACTGCAAACACAGACATACCTTTGAAAATTTACCTACTATTATTGATGATTATTCATAAATGACTTCCAGCAAGATTGCACTGAAAGCATCTTAAACAGTACAGATCAGCAGCTGGCAGCCTTTAACAAGCTGCAGACCAGAACAATCTAGCTCTAGTATGATGCTGGCTGAGTGGCATGTCAGCAGCAGGGGGACTTGCCTGCTTCTGTATCAGGAACAGGCAGCTGGGAGCTGCAGTTGTGTCATTGCCGCTTGCCCCAGTTCCTCCACCCCATAATCCCCACAGATGCAGCTTCCAGCAAGTGAGGAGCAGCATCACAGCTAGGCAGCTAGAAGCCATGTCTTCATTGCCATCACTTCTCCCTGCCTCTGTACCCCTCCACCTTTCAGCTGCTCCTACGCTGTAGCCAGGCAACAGGGGCCTAGAGGAAGTGGCAGAAGTGGGGGCAAAGCTTCTAGCTGCCCAGCTGTAGCACAGCTCCTTGCTTCCTGGCCCTACCATGGACACAGAAACAGGCAGAGTCTCTTATGACTCCATGGACCAGATCTAGCCTGCAGGCCATGACTAACCCTTGGTGGAGATAACACTCAATATTACTACTAGAAAAAGTCTACAACTTGCAAGTGGTGGACTTAAATCAGACCACTTCTGAAACTGTCTGCTTTTCAAAATAGCAACTGAAAGGCTAATTTGGGATTTGTATTTTATACCCTAATACAGTTCCTCTTCTAGTTGAGTACTGGGTTCTCTGTATTGCAGTTGGAGGGTCTTTTCTGCATGCCTATTTCAGTTGTATATCTGGAAAGCTACAAGCCACACAGAAAATGATTCGTGCACCTATACATTAATAGGAACCAACATTTTCAATAATTTCTCCTCTTCCCTCTCTATTAAATCCTGTTCATTCTTTCTTTCCAAACTTTCCCATACCCTAATCTAACTTATTTGAAAGCTTCACCAAGCGTTTCAGGGCACTACCACAATGTCATAGCACCTGACCTATGGTTCCTGTTATCCATCATCCCCTCTTCCTACGAGGTAAGGAAATTTGAAGTCATGAAAGCTGCCTGAAAATGTAAAGGCATATATATTGTGCATCCTATTTGTTTGATTAGTAGTTGATATGGGCTGCAAAGGGTTACTTGCAAACATGTAAGGAAGAAGGCATTTTCAGATAGCCCTGTGAAGAGGTCATTGGCTTTGAACAAGTACATCTGAGGATAATGGGTTAAAAAGTTGGCACAGGGAACAGTCCATGTATGTAACCACAAAACTGATCTAAGCTAGAAAAACAGGGCTTTGAACAGATGATCCCTGAAGAATACAAGCGAAGAAAGAAAAGGACTGCTAGGATTCAGACAGAACCCCAGTCCCTAGTGTTCAGGGCCTCCAGAATAAGATGGGCCTATCTAAGCCTTTACGTAAAATACATGTGTGTAGACAAATTCCACTGAAAACGCTTTCCCCTTGGCAAGCTTCTACTGTTGAACAAGTCAGGTCTCAAAAGAACCGACTAACCAAATTCAGGCAGACCTGCTAAGGATTCATAGCTGGTACACAACTGTAAGCAAGAGAATCATAGGTTTCAATCTTAAAACGGTGGCAGAAACCCTCATTCATACACTGGTAAAATGCACTCAGAAAATCAAGGCAAGGTTAGAAATACAGGTACCCCCACCCATGATGCACTATACTAGAAACCTTCTCTTTTCTAGCAGACTATCCCTTATATCTACCTTTACAATAACAACTCTCCCTTTCCAATTTTTTCCTTACTCCTCTAATACAGTTATCCTCTATCTACCAGCCATAGATGAAAGCAATATTATTCTCCCCTATAATACTTAAAAAAAAAAAAAATCGTATCTCTTCTCCAACTAAAGTTAATTTTTTCATTATCTGTGAGGTCATAATTATTCTAAGTGGACCAGATGGCACTATGGAGTCTTTCAGGGGAAAAAAAGTACATTTTCTAATATAAAGAATGAACCAAATAATCTCCATTTTATTTTCTTTTTTTGCAAAAAAACCCCCTTCAGCATTTTAAAGGAACATGCCATAACATTAGCTCTGCAAGTTGACTTCTAAAATATTGCATAAATGACAGCCTTATCTACATTTACAGGGAACAGGCTCAGAAATCTCAATGTATTATTTTATATTGTAAACAAAAAATTGGTTTGTATTTAGCTATTAATACTTTTTGGAAAAGACTAATTTAATTTTAAGTTAAAAAGTTACTTGTTTTATTCTATACTAGTCAATTTTACTTACCAACAGAAGGCTTTAACAGGAATAAGTCCTTACTGTAGCAGAATCCAATCTTTGTGTTCCTGATACATTGCCTGGTTTCAACAATCACAGAAGGAAGACATGCAGAACACAGCATGCATGTTAGTTTTAAAAACCAATTCACACAGCAACCTGATTGCAACTACCATATAAATTCACTCTATAAGGGTATAAGTTAGAAAAGCAAAACTCAAAACAACCCTGGGTTATATCTACTCTTAATGAAGCCCTTCATCAGTGGACTGAATGATATTAACATAATTTCTGAAAACTTTTATTTCAATTAAAGTGACTCACAAAAAAGCCATGCCTTTTACTAGTATGTAATTATATACACACACTAGTACTAGAATTTATAACGATAACCTCAAATATTTATGTAGTAAATATTTCTTTGTTTTCCAATAATGAATTAAGAAACTGGCTTTACTGTATTTTTATTCATACAGATTAGAAATTTACAGCCAGTGCCCACACCTTTAAGGAGGTACAAAACACATGAAAATTCTGGTGGCGTCACCTTGCTTCCAGTCAGATATATGGAAACTAAGTATTCCTAAATAAGAAGATATTTTACAATTTTATTTAACAAACAAAGTGAAAAGGAACTGTGCATCTTGTAGAACGTTCACAAGTGATTACAAATATATGTGATTAGAATGAAAAGCTTTATACATAACAAGCATGCATAAGGCAAAAATATTCTGGATATGGAGTCACTACAAACAAATTCCATCATGCTCAATATAACAAAAAGCCGTTTACGCACCATCAATTTGCATCTTCTTTGGCTGCATAGAGGGTGAAGACATTGAGGTGGTAACTCTGAAATTTGCAGGGAGAGTCTCTGCTGATCCAGCAGCTAAACCTCTAATGTCCTTTGGTCTAAACTTCTTTCTCCATGAAGGTGCTCGTCTAAAGCTTTTATCATCATCCTGTCAGATTGTATCATTAGTAATTTTTAAAGCAGGCAATTATGTCACAAGCTGAAGTTCAGGCAATGTCAGTAACGGAGTAATAGGCATCATGGCCTGAATTTTCAGGGCTTGAGCCGTAGAATTTAGACCAGATTTTGTGAAGAAATCAAAATTAATTAGCTTCCACAAATCTGATCATTTAAATTTTAGGTACCTAAATGGAAAAAAAACTTTTTTTTTTTTTTTTTAAATAACTTGTGATGCATACCTATTTTCCAGAATGGAGGCCCTTCAATTCCAAAAAGGTCTGTGGAAACCAATATGCTTAGCATCTCTTGGAAGATACAATAATGGCACCCATTATTTTCACTGTGCATTAATGTTTATTTATGCTTAAGGATTTATGATGTTAAAACGTTTTATAATCTAGCAGCAAAAAGTAAATGAAAGTGATGCAAGAGGGACAGATAATAAAATGTTTTAGTGACTTTAACAGTCATTTGTGCAGTTTTTTTCGTTTCTAATGAAATAGTTACATCCATTTTGGTCTCAAATTCCACATTTGCTGGAGTACCTATATTGACATACAGCATAAGGATACAAAGATCACAGAAAGTGGACTGACTTCTAAAAGAAAACAAATACAAAACCTGAAGTGCAGAAGTTATTTGTATATCATCACCTATATATACGGTTTCATTTAAAGTGAATAGATTTGTTTCAACTACTTGGAACAGAATGCACCCCCTATTTAAACAGTTTCTCCCTGGTAGCATATTCACATCTTAAACTATATTTGAATTGTATGTGACACTGCACCTAGTAAATACGATATTTTGCCACACTTATAAAATAATATCTGGTAAGAAAAAGATACATATCACAGTTTGTATGTATCCATGAATTGTTTATCCTAAGTAGAAACCTGTGGTATCTCAATGTTCATTACAAGATTAATCTAAGTTAACACCAAGGACTTAGAGAAGTCAAAGGTAGCTTGAAGCAACTATAGCGATTCCCTCTGCTGGGACTGCAAGTTCCCTGGGGTGCTTCTGAGGCATAGCATGGAATCTCATCCTGTGTCAATAGATAACCGAGACAAATTTTTAGAATTTGTATTAAAATGTTTTCTAAGTTGGAAGAGGAGGAGATAAATGAAGCAGTTACATAACACCTTTCTTTCTGAAAGATTCCAGCCTACCTAAAAGATTTAAAAAAGAATCATTAATTTACTAGCAAGGTGCAACCATCTCTTGTAGCTATCATGCTGCACTTCTACACAATATGCAATTATCCAAGCTGGAATTCTGCCTGAAAGCTAGTGTCAGTACTTACAAAAAGTACCATCTGTGGTTATTAAAGCTATTTTTGGCAAGCCCGTGGGTTTTGTATCTTCTCTGAAAAAGAGACACTTCTCATCTAGAGTCCCTAGCAATCAGGGTATATGCTACTTGTTACATTACTTGCTACTGGTTACAACTACTGTACTAAGACGTCAGGAGTTCTCTTTCAGTTTTACTTCAGACAACCCTGTATAGTTCTGCTCTCCTTCCCACCTTCCAAGGGAAAGGGAGAGAGGGAAGGCAAGCATCTGCCTCCCTGTTAGTTCATCCATGGGTGAGCTGTCAGGGAGACTTGCAGGCTGCCCTGCTCCTGTTGCTGCCTGGTGGCAAATGGGTCACAGCTGCCACTGGCAGTGTCTGCCTAGATGGAGACACTGGTGCTCTCTGCTCTCTTCAGCTACTTGCTCACCCTGTAAAGATCCCAGAGCACCTGCAGTCTGGAAGCCAGGCATACCACTGACCAGCATGCCTGGCTCTGCAGTTGCAAGCACTATGGCATTATTAATGGAACAGATGCAGTTGAGCAGCAAGGTAGAGGGGGCTCCCTATAAGTGGCAGCATGGGCTCACTGGGGGTGGGGTGGGTCTGTGTAGACTTTGCTGCAAACTTTGTAGCACTGTAGTGAGCAGGTTTGTTATTACCCTGAAATAGAATAGTTTTCTGATAAGCATACTGTTAGGTTTACAATAATTTAGATTATTAGGAAGTATTAGCTTTACAGCTGAATACAAGGCATGACCTGTGGCCTAGCAATGCAGCTGACCACAAGGCAGATTGATAGCTAAGCCTTTGCTTGTGTCAAGTAATCATTTTAACTGTATTAAGCATTTTCTAAGTTAAAAGCAGCAAGTATCTCTGTGTCTGTGTGCTGAAAAATCAGCTACAGCAAAAAATAAGATAAGACAGGGAAACCATTGTTCTGGGTGCACTGGTTGTGTCCTTGAGAAGTATCTACTACTGTATAAGGTTTTGCTAACATATTATAATGTTACTGTTACTTAACTTTTAGCTTTTAAAAGTGTGCTAGTTCAGCTTAATAGAAATAGTCTCGTACAAAGATTTGAAAAGCACCGCCCAAGTATTGCTTTTTTTTGTTAACCATAAAGTCTTGCCTTGTTGTAATAAGTATAAAAGATCACCTCACCCTTAGGGGGGGGCCATTTTGCCTTTTGCTGGCTTTATGGTCTTTGCTCGAGCAAATAAACAGCTGTCTTTCTTTACCCGCGTTGTCTGTCAATCAAATTACAGCTAAACAACGAACCTTAGGGAGGTTTCTCCCACCACAACATGCACCAGTTCTGAGAAAATGGTGGCAGCACATCAACACAGTCAAAGGTGTTTTAGTTCAAAAGTGCACCACTGCCATTTTCCAAACACTGATGTGCCACCGTTTATACAAATGTGCATGACACAGCGCCGGGCATGTCAGCTTCCATGCAGATCAGACCCGATTAATCAAAGGTACGTTGCAGCATGATAAAGGTATGTGTATAAATGCCCCTAGTGGCCTGCAGAGATCTAGATAACCATGTGGTAGTTCGCCCTTGTTTCTGAAGACTAAAAAAAGATGCATTAAATGATTTTCCCGTTGGAAAAAAATTAGCAGATGTCAGTACTATGATAGTGAAAGGAGGCAGTCTATGAAACACTATACAAGTTTCAGAATCCTTGCCTGCCATAAAAACACTATAATAAGCAAAACAACAAAGCTCGGGAATACTGCTGCACAGCATCATCTTTAATAAGTATCCAACACGAAAGATTAACCAAAAAAATTCTACTCCCAGGTTACAGTAGCTATACTTTATACACAACAGCTGCAATAACAAGATAGTGCAACAGTCACTGTCTTGCCTTCATAAGTGAATTCATACTTTCTGCTACCCCAAAAGATAGATTTTTAGAAACTGCACTAGCAAGATCCCTATGGCCTTAACAACAACATAATATGCTAGAGTGACCAGCTCCCACTTCAGGACAGAAGTACCTCAACAGTCAAAAGAGAACAGAACATGTCATTTATCTGTAAAATAGTATGCTGTTTTACACAACTGCCTCACACAGTATGACACTTGTTTTGAGACAAACATTTCCCTCAGATGTAAAAATACAATCTTAATTTGAAAATACTAAATTGTTAATCACACAAAGCAAAAAAAATGAATATTCACCATTTCCCCTGAAATATCTTTAAATCTATTTTAGTTCCTTTTTCTGCCAGAAACTGTCAGGCACCATCATCAGCTGTAATTGCTCATTTCTAGTAAAATTTAATGCTTTAATCTCCTAAGTTAAATGCAAATCTCACAACTGCACACCTGTGTTTGCATATTCCCTTTGATGGGCCCTGTCACCATAAATGTCAGTATTTACTTCTCTTGAGTGTTGCTTCAGGACTAGCTGTGCTCCTCTTGTAGCTGACTTTGCATATAAATTCTGTAACATATTTTTGAGAGTTGAAAATTACAAAGCCCATTTGAAATGTTTAATTATTTATATAAATTCTATAGCATTAACCTTTGGAAAAAAAAAAAAGCTTCTCAGGGACAAAATACAGGATAGACACCACAATATGATAGGAGGAAAAGGGAAAAAAAATGCACTGAATGCTTCTGGAATGGAAAGCATTTAAAATTGAGATTTTCCTCAATTACCATTTTAGATAAAGTATCCAATAGATTAAAATAATTTTAAAGGTTTATTTCCCCCCGTTAAATAAGAATTTGCTTTCTATTTTACATACAAGTATTTCTTGTTTGCTAACATATAAAGCCAGGATTGTACAACAGGTACCCCTTCCCAATCTACCAACGCCATCCCATTAAACCTGGATTAAACTACCAGAAAAGATGGTCTTTGTTGTCAGAAGAAAAATGTATCAAGCATAGTTACTCTGACAGCAAAAACATAAATGTAACCAAATAAACTCTCAACTACAACAGAGGCATTGTTCAGGATACATGCTTGAGTCTGGAGGCAGCAACTTGTAGAATCATCTATAATGATCTGTTGGGGGGGATAAGGGGGTGGAAGAGAACAAATAACTAAATAAATGAGATTGACCCATTTTCCTTCAAAATGAAATTTTGTGCCAGCCAGTTAACTTTTCATGCATCACTTCCCCAAAGATTTAAAAACCAAACTTAAAAACAAAATTTCAAAATGTATTTTTACATTATATTTTGAGAGGAGAAAGTATCTGTAAAGTATTACTTGGAGTCCAGGCAACGCCCCCTACTGCTGCAGGTTAAATCCAGCCCACAGGCCAAAGATTGCCAGCCCATACTTTAGAGGTTTGAAAAGCAATGGGTTTTTAGTGATCTCATTTTCAGTCATATGTATAGCTGGAAAAAATATTAAACAAGCTTTCAGACACAAAGTGCCCTTCTCAAGTAAAGAGCCAGAGAACCTGGATAAAAACATAGTAAGAGGTCGTAATAGGGTAAACTTTACCAATGTTCTCAAAGAGAAATTAGGATAATCTATTAGTTACCTAAAATGCTTAAATACTCATGTGAGAAGCAGGAGGAATAAGGAGGAAGAACTGGAAATTCTAGTAATTAGAAAATGATATGAAATTGAAATAATGAAGACTTGAGTACCGTCACGAAGCATGTAACCTATATAAGCAAGACAGGCAGGGGAAAAAAAAGACGTGTTGCCTTATACGAGATGCATGTTTGTTTGGAGCTAAAGTACATAGTAATACATAGCTGAAGTACATAGCAAAAGGCAGGCCTATTGAAAATCTCTGAATCAAGGTCAGTATGGAGAACAGCAAGGGTGATGCCAGGGTGGATGTCTGCTATAATAAAGCAGACAGGAGAGGTGGATGAGGCTTTCCTTAAACAACTAACCAATGTTTCCAAATTACAGGACGTAAGGGTTCTCAAGAGGGTCTTTATCGTGGTCTTTATTGAGGGAAACACAGCAGAGCACCGGCAGTCCAGCAAGTCTTTGAGTGTGTCGGGAATAACTTATTGATAAAAGTCCTAGGGAGCCCAAGTAGGGAAAAAGTTCTTTCAGTTGCTCCTCACAAACTGGAAGGAACTGGTTAACCTATACATTGACTCTAAACAATCTGTATTACTTTCTAAAACAACCTCTGAAACGTCAAAATTTTTCATAGTAACTGGTTACCCATTACTTACACTGACCAGGAATAGAAAGTATTCTTTTCATACTCTCTCTTCTCTTCACACCTGCCTCTCCTTGAAGAGCTTAGGAGCTTCTGCAAGTTTCACAGTTCCCTTTACCTTTCATACTTGATCTCTAGACTTCAGCATGCAACTCTGCAGATTATGAAGTCTCTCCAACACAAGTAGCAGTAAAATAACAGGAAAGTAGGACTGGAAGAGATCTCAAAGTCATCTAGTCCAGCCCCCTGCTTGAGGCAGGATAGCCCCAACTAAACCATCCCAACCAAGAGTCTGTTTAGACTGCTCTTGAAAACTTCCAAGGATGGAGCTTCCACAATTTCTCTAGGTAGCTTGTACCAATGCCTGACCATCCTCAGAGTCAGAAAGTTTTTGCTAATCTCCAATTTAAATCTCCCCTGCTGTAGCCTGAGGCCATTACTCATAGTCCTGTTCCATAGAGCAGGGTTTCTCAACCAGTGGGACACAAAGGTGCTCTAAGTGGGACTCGGGTCGCAGCGGCAAAACCAGAAGTGCCATGGTGGGACTTCTGGTTTCACTTCTGCACGCTTCGATTGGCCACTATGACCAACTTCCTACTTCCTACAAGAGACATTGAAGAGATTGCTGTCTAGCCAAGCTGGTCTACTGTTACACTTTCCATTTTTCTGTCACATCAGGATAGCTTGCACCTATGCCTTTAATACAGCCTCCTTATAGTACAGACAGCTGTCCTGGATTCCTTTTCCCTTCATAGCGGTCTCCTAGAGAATCCTGCCCACCTGTTCCCCGAGTTCGTTAGTCTTCTTTTCTGAAGTCCAGTGTCCCTATCCTGCTGCTCTCCTTTCCTCCCCTTATGATCTTCAACTATAATTTCATGGTCCCCTATCACCCAAATAGTCTTCTACCTTCACTTCCTCAACCATTTCCTTCCTTTTGTGAGCAATAAGTCAAGAAAAGCTTCCCCGCCTAGTTGGCCTCTTTACCATTTGTATCCATCCCTTACACCAGTGGTTCTCAACCTTGTGCAGGCCGGGCGCGAGCCGGGCCCTTTTTCGTGCTCTGCGCGGGCTGTGGCCAGCAGCCCGGGCACACGGAGTCAGAGAGGGCACGCGTCAAGCTAGAATTAGGCACAGACTCATAGCGGTAGATTTAAAGATTGTTTACTTACACCGGAGATGGTTGCAGTGCAGGCTGGAAAACTTGCTTGAGTTGCGGTTACAGACAAAAACAACACGAAAGATCACATGGAGTTTGCTAGGCTCCACAGAAACAGAGCTCCGGATGCCCTGGACAAGCGCGCCACCGAAATAGAAACTTCGTAGATATGTCTTATAAAATTTATCACTCGAAGACGGGAAGAGGTGGGCGATGGATCAGGTCGCCAAACTCCTCTGAATCTCACACAGGGTCTCTATTACCCTGCCGTGTACCCAGAGTCCCCACAAGATGGATGTGGAGTCCTCTTCGGCTTGGGCGGAAACCGCTCAAGCCTCTTATACGGCTAGCAGGCCA